ACAGATTGATGTGATTCCTTTGTATTACTTGGTTTTGTCCTGACAAATCTCACGGATAGTTTTCCCAATCTGCTATCTCCCTTTATGGTAATCTGTGCAAGAAGAGCAACATGCTGTGTTACTTGAAGTGGCAGAACACTGGATTGATGCACATTTTCTTCCATGGCAAGCACTTAAAAAATTTATCCTGTCATACAGGGAGAGAACTTTTTTATTATTTTAGTTTTAAAGACAAGACTTAGTATCACCCATATGTACAACAGCAGTACCACCTTTGCAATTCCATCATAAAACTTGCATTGCTGTGAGTGCTCATTTGTTCAATAAGAAGCAGGACAAAGACTGGGCTATATCCTCAGATTTTCTAAAAAAAAAAAAAAAAAAAGAAGAAAAGGTGACCTGAGGTGTATTTATTTTGGTGAATGCAGACTATGGGAGAAGCACAGGCATAAGTAGGTTAACTTTAAGCTGACAGGGCAGGGTTACTCACTGAATAATTAAGTTTGCGAATAAAAACCTGACAAAATATCCACTGACTTCAGCAGCATTTGGATTTCACCCCAGCTGCTCTCACAGGAGGCGTATTTCTTCTTGCAGCGAAATAAAAGACAAAGAAAAAAAGGCATGAAATAGTTCAATATATGTCACAGATGGGATGAAGCTGACGTCCTTAGACACTAACTACAGCTTCTCCATCGCTGTATTTTACCTCCAGCTCATGGAAAACCTGGACGCCCTTATCAGGCTGCAGTGAGGCCGGCATGCTGCAGGATCAGGCCCACCCAGCAGTCCCTTCCCTGTTTCTCATGGAAAAGCCTGAAACATTTAGGTGTACATAGGAGTAACACCCTTAGGTGATTTTTTTATGCAGCTTTACTCACAAAAGCCAAATTGTTATTTGAGGAATCGATCTAATTTTAGGCATTGTTGGAACAGATGTGGGTAAAGACCAGGATCTGAATCCAGCCGAGAGCTGCCATGGCCATCTCATCTGGTCACCTCACATCCCTTTACTAGCAAGGAGAGAAAGAGGGGCTTTGAGCGTGCAGCTCATCTGACCTGTTTGCGATGCCAGCCAGGCTG